TATGGTGTATATGTGCATACATGCATTCCCATGTGAGTGTGTGCATTTGCATATATCTTAACACACGTGTATGTATACTATAGGCATTGGGCTGAAATAATGATTTCATCCTTTTGCGGTGCTCCCAGACAGTGTGATCTAGTGCTCCTTTAGTTTCAGAGCCCTAACCAGCTAAAAGCAGACTCCATGAAGGTGAACTAAGTTCTACCTTTTCATCGAATCCTCTGAGAAGCCCTGAACACTGGAAGTTCAAAATATGTTAAGCGAAATAAGACTCTTGAATCAGTACACAGTTTTTTTGTTATTATTATTATTATTATTAGTTCCTCTGCAACAATTAGTCTTCCTGAATAAGAAACAGCTAACTGTTACACTTGTCACCCTACCCAGTATAGGAGCCGGCTTTAGAATCTAAATGGTCTCACAATAAACTTTATTTGGATTCAAGAAGCAGTTTTAAAACCATTTATTTGTAAAGGAAGCAATCTTAGCTTTAGAAGTTGGCAGGTACATCGAAAAGCTTTTTAGTTGACTGAAATAAAAAAAAAAATCAAAACACTTTTTAGCACAGGCACTTCCCTTATGAAAACAAATCGCCTGAAAGCAAAGCACAGCAGTTTCTGCACAATGAGTGTGAGTCCCACCACCATCAGCGGGAGCAGGAGAACCGAGCAGGAGAACGGCGGAAGTGATTTGCATTTCTATAGTTCCTTTGTGTGCCCACATTCCGAACGCATTTCACAAAGGAGCAAATACCTTGGCCCACAAGAGGACTGACTGGACTGGGCAGTCTGAGGCCTGCCCAGCTGTGAACAGGAGCACAATCACACTGCAGGCAGGGAGGACTTACTTTCACCTGCTTCTAATCACTGCAGTAAATGTGGCTCAAATCTGCTGACCTTTCCAAATAACCACTCACTGTTCTCCCATCCTGGGTGATTGGCCTGCTCATCAACTCCTAGCCAGTCCCTTACATACCTACAAAATGCATTGCTCCAAATGTACAACATGCAGGATACCCTGGAAGCAAGAGGCAGGGAAGCAGATCCCCACAGTCAACTCAGTACTGTATCGGGGGGGATAGACCAGGGGTTACTGTACCTAGGTTTAGATATACAAAGATGGCCTTTTGTTGTGTAATTCTGATGTTGTCCACGGGCTTCTCAGAGCCCTCTGCATATGGGGCCCTGGGCCAGCACTTGCTGTAGTCCAAGCAGCAGCTATGACTGTCCTCCAGGGGTCACAATCGGGTTATAAATCCCTCATTTGAGCACGGACTGAGCAGTCTCATTGGGAACAATTTATCTGAACCCTTCTTCATTAAGATTCAAATGGAATAAGGGAGGTAGAAATTGAACAGACCCAGAAATTGTGCCTTGCTGCTCCTGCAGTCAGTAAACATTTATTCACTAAGCCTAGCTCCTAGCTTCTCTTTCTCTCTCTCACCTCACTCATACTTGTTCCTCCAATCCTTCCTGCTTGCTGTTTTAATGCATAATTAAGAAGGTCAGAATTAATGAAGCAGTGTGGAGTAAAGTTCAAGGAATCCCCAGGCACTATTTATTCTATTAGATCTTGGGCATGAATGTCAGATTGGCAGCATAAGCTGCATGGGCAATGGGCCCTGCTGCATCCCAGGAACCACCCACCCAGGGAGACTCACCTGCACTGTCAGGTCATTCTGAAGCTCCTTCCCAGCAAAAATCACACGAAGCTGGTCAGCTGGAACCCCCTGTCGCTTAGCAACCACTTCCTTGAGCTGGAAGATGCTGGTGTCAGAATTGACCTCCACTGGGAAACCATGGCTGGAGTTGAACCTGACAAACACTAAACACAGGCAGGGAGAGAAGAAAGAACATTACTCCAAGCCCTTAATGGCCAGTGAAATGTCTCTGAAGACGCTTGCCCCTCACCTGCCCTCCAGTGAACGGCATATATTTTCTCTCATTTATAACAGAGAACTTTATACTATAGAGCAGTAGTTAGAAAAAACTGTTTTCCCAAGGTGTTTCCCGTTCATACACTAGTCAATGACCTGCAAACCGAGATTGCACTGTGCCTTTGACATCCATCCGCCAACACAGAGGGAGTCAAGCGGAACACTTGGTTGATTGGAATCTTGAGATTCCCATGAGTTTATAGAATATTCTGCTCCAACAGACTGAACAAACACTCACTCCCTCCACAGGGCCCTCTGCATAAAAATCAAAGGCAGCATGTTGATGTTCCAGAAATAAATGGAGGAGACAGAAGCTACTGTGTAAAGAGTAAAGAGAGCCTGGAACACTATGGGTAAGGGTTTGGGGCTCCGGGCTCTGGGCTCTGGACTCTATGGAGTTCTGCACTCTGCTAAGTGGTTGTGGGCTCCAGGTAAGAACCCTGGGCCCTGTGAAAGGATTTTGTGCTCTGTGTGTAAGGATTTTGGCTCAGAGGTCTCAATGAATGTTGAGAGATCTTAAAGTATCTCTGCTGCTATCTTCATTAGATTCTGGCTAGACCCACAGCCTCCCCACACTGTCTTCTCACTTTCTTGCCAAACCATCTCTAGCATTTCTTACATCTTACCTGCTGTTTCCAGCCATCCGCCCTTTTCTCACTACTCCAAATCAGGCTCTCATTAAATACTCCCTAGATTCTTATGCTGGTGTGGTGGTGCATGCCTGTAATCTCAACACTTCAAAGCAGAGGCAGTTCTCGGCCAACCTGCTCTAAATATGAAGTTCCAGGACAGCCTAAGTCACATAGAGAGTTCCTGCCTAAAAGAAAAACATAAAACAAACAAGAACTACTTTCTAGATTCTTGCATTTAGCTTCCAGCTGTTCTTTTTTGTTTGCTTGCTTTAATATATATTCTGTTTTTAATTCAGAATCACAAAGTTTTAAATAATGGTGTGAGACAGAGAAAAGAACTTTCCAGTCAACTTTAGGGACAGGAACTTCAATTCCTGCTGTGTGTTTCTGTCCTGGATGAAGGCCAGAAGCCACATGTGTTTGGGGGCTCTGGTTCCCTGCCTGGGTTCTTGTTATCTTTCTTCTCCTTTTATACAGCCACCTGAAGACTGTATGTGAGCATGTGACCAAAACTCCAGTTCAGGCATTTGGATGGAAAGGCACAAGGACATTCCATGGTTGAGCAAGCTGGAATAACTCCCCTAGGCCCTCTGTCTCAACCCAAAAAGCCATACTATCCCTTGCTTGGCAATCCATGTTGACAATACATTTCTTGGGACTGTCTCCAGTTCTCTAGTTCCTCTCCTTGTGTAACAGGACAAGACAGTACAGAGATTCCTTCTTATACTCTTGCTGAGGTCATTTCAGGTTTAACTATGATTTGATCTCCTTGATGGAGAATCCATGGAAAACTTCCCAACTCTGTTCTGAACATATGAGGTCAAGATGTACCAGCTTGTGCAACATGCCCCCCCCCCAGTTAACTTTTTACCATTGTTGCTTCTGTTAAACTGCTTGCTTGCACAAAGCCTCACCTTCTAGCTAACTGCTTACCATCATAGCTTTGTCAAACCAGTTGCTTGCACAAGGGCTTCCCTCACAGCTGTCAAGAGGGACACCAGGATGTGGTTTCTGCCTTTAAAGGTCCCTTGGTGTAAATGTTCATGGATACACTTGGGTCCTGGATTCATGAGTGTAGTCCCAGCCGGCTGGAATATAGCCTTCCCATTGTCTATAAACTGTATCTGAGTGATCACCTCTGTTGGGCTCCTTGTAACATTTGTGCCCTCTCTCTCAATCTCTCCTGTGAACCTAACATAAACCCCTGTCAAGTGCTCACTTTCCTCTTGTCATGGCATTCACTCTCAGGTTCTCACAACACTGGAGCCTGGCCCAGTGTGGCTTTGCTGTTTTTCTTTTAGGAAGCAATAATCACCTGGAGAGAAGTCCTCTATACTCTCAAGGACACTGGCATCTCAAGGATCAGTATTGTTGTTATTATTTTAACGAAGTATGTTTTAGTAGATTCCTCTAAGCCCTCACTCCCCCAGTCTTCTTTCCTCTTTCACAGCTTATGTTCCTATTTTTCTCAAAAAATATTTTCCTCGTTTGGTGTCTTTTCTAATATTTTAGGCTTTATTCACATTTACACATTTACACTCACTTATATGCATAAATGTATACATCACATGCTAGGATATACATATGGGGGAGACTATGTGGCTTATGTCTGAATTTGGACCACCTCACTCAATATAATACTTTACAAATCCATCCATTTCCCTGAAAATTTCATTGTTCTTTACAGCTGAATAAAATTCCATTTTGTATATCAACCACACTTTTATTACCCATTTGTCTTTTGACAGGCATCAAAGCTGGCTCTAATTCTTTGCTATTGTATACAGAGCAGCCAGAACTACAGATGTGTGAGAGTACCTGTGGTAGATATAAAGTCCTTCTGATTCTGCCCAGGAGTGGTAGACCTGGGTTATATGATAGCTGTGTATATGTGGTGTTTGTGTGTGTGTGTGTGTGTGTGTGTGTGTGTGTGTGTGTGTGTGTGTGTGTGTGTGTGTTGGCAGTTCTCCAACTATATTTGACATTCAGCAGTTTAGTTCTCATCCACACTGACTGTAAATTTTTGAATGTGGTAACAAGCATGTAAGTAACCAATATGACACTTGTTTGGTGAGTCCTCATCCTTGTTATGTTTTGTGGACAAACGAACACAAATACAGTATGGAACATTCCTTATTCCTTTGTTCCAGACAGCTTTATTGAGCCTGGTATCAATATGCACATCTGGGGTCCCCATCTCCTTCATGGCAAATTTCCAGATTTCTTTGAGTGCCCAAGGAGCACGCTTCTTGAAGCCCACACCATGGATGTGCTTGTGAATATTGATGTATATTCTCTGGTATTATTAACCTGAGTCTTATTGATGTTTCTTTGTGTTTGTCCCTTACAAAATTCCATATGCCATTCTGAAAAACAGACCTAATCAACACCATGTTCCCATCTCTCAATCCACTCAAATCCTTTAAAGTCTCACCCTATTTGCTGGGAAGAAAAATCTAAGATCTCATTTATACCTCATATGGCATGAATCAATATTCCAGAATTTTCTCTGTACCCACATGCATTCTGCAGAACCAAAAGGCCTAAGAAAACACATCGTGGAAATTTACTACTACCAGTCTCTTGTGTTTGCCTTCGTCCTCTACTCTTTCTATTGAACCTTATCTATCTCCATGGTCCATTTCAAGGTGACCTTCTCCAAGAAGCTTCCTACTCAGTCCTCCTCTGAAACTGCCTATTCAGGGTTCCATAGGCACAGTCTCAGTCTGTCTCTGAACCCTTGCCTCATTCCCCCAAGGAAGCAGTATAGCACAGAGGTTCAGAAGTACATCCTTCAGAAGTAGAAAAGCCTGCATAGAAATCTTGTCACTCCTTTGTTGTTTAGTTGTCTAAGGATAAACACATCTTCCTCTTAAAGTCTCAAATTTGTGAAGCTGAAAAATGAACAAACATTAGATGATGTGACATGACACATCAAACAATGTTCACAGTGATTCAACAGAATGCTGCAAGATTAGTGGCTATCCATGTAGGTCTCCATTACCTTTAAGTACAGAACTAATGCTGACTAGTTTTCAACTCAACTGGGATGATCAGTGTAATAATACTGACAATAAAATTATAACTACAGTGCCACTACTAACTAGGCACTTTCCTTTAAGGCCAGGGTGATCTGACCAGCTCAGTGTTACTAGCCAGTAGAGCAGCACACGAAGCCCAGAGAACAATGGTGACTGTTACTGACCCATGGGCTTCTTTGTGATGAGATCAGAATAATATGCAGCTCCTCTCACTGAGGGTAGCTGCCCAGGACCTTCTCCCAGGAAAGGGCATAGTCCTTTTTCTAATAATGGAAAGGATTAACAACAGTAGTGTAAAATCTCACTTCCTAATATAATGCTGGTACTCCCTATACAGAAGAAAACTGGGTAAGAAAGATAAGAAAAGGGAAAAATGGCTCCAGGGAAGGAGTTAAGTTCTGAGGAAAGGGGTGGTGGTTATGAGACACAGCGAAATAGAAATGAGAGAGGGCAGCACGGAAGAAACAGAGCGAAAGACCCGACATCCTTTAGATATCTAGAGGAAGCTGAGGTCTGGAAGAATAAGAAATTCATGAAAAATACTAAATATTAGGAAACTGTGGCATCTCTCTCTCTTTCCTGTGTGTGTGTGTGTGTGTGTGTGTGTGTATGTGATTTCATTTCTGATAACACAGGTGAAGAAATAAAAATATATTGATACCTGTCATGTATGCATAACATCTCAGATCAAAACTCAAAGAAAACAATCCATCAGTTAAGGCACAGGACAGGGGCTACAAGGGATAAAATCATGGCCAAGTTCTAAACCTTATTGTTTTTTCTACTGCTGTGAAAAAAAAAAAAAAACAACAACACCATGGGGGTATATAGAAGAAAGCTGCTGGGGGCTATATAGAAGGTACTATAGAAATATATTAAAACCCTCAAGAGACTATGCCGACATGCTTCCTCAGGGTTCAAACCAAAAAAACCCTACTGTAAATGCAAGACTTATAAAAAAAATGAAGGAAGAGAAGGTGAAATAATAAAATGGCAGAAATGAAACAATAAAAATCTGTACTACAACTATTCAAATCATGTTTTAGTGTTTATTTTTCTATAGTCTTAAATTCACATTGCATAAATTATGAAAATTATATACAAATAGATACTTTTGAATAGTAAGTAATAATTGATTTTACAATAAAAATACCACCTATTGTAGGTACTCAGTCAACTAAAATGCTTAAGCGGCTGAAAAGGAACATCTTTAAA